ATGCAATTTGCATTGTCTTCATTCAGGATGGTTGAAGTGTCTGTTGCTGAGGGTAAGGCATATGTGCTCCGGATGTGATGGATCACTGACCTTAACTAAATACATTCACGACTGGCTTCATGAAGGGCAAGTATTTCTAAGTGATTGGAAGATGTAGCAACCAACATTTGTTTTGTTGAGCGCCATAGATTGCAGTACCTCCACATGTAAACACATGTCCAGTTTGTGAGCAACCTTTATGCGGATAAGAGAGGTATCCTGCTTCAGCATATCCAAAAAGACTCAGCGCATTGGTCGATTCACTGGAATAGGATAAGCCCATGTATGTTGTCCCATGAAGATATCGTCGAATATGTTTGATACCGGTCCAATGTCAATTTGTTGGGGTAGCGCTGTATCTTGATAACAGATTTATTGAAAATACTATGTTTGGTCTAGTACATTGTGCTAAGTACAATCAAGCACCTATTGTAATAAGATATGGTACTTATGGACTAAGGATAATTTCATCATCCCCTTTTGGACGATATGGATCCTTTTTAGGGCCAGTTTAGGATTGCAGTCACTTTAAAAAAAAAATTTGCTTATGCTGTGCTTTGAAAATAATTAACTGTAAAATAAAGTAGCTTCATATTTGGTAAATAATTCTTTTAAAGTGACATTAGTACAAAAAGTTGTGTAAAAACCATTTAGTAAATTTTAATATAAATTGTCGTAACTGTGAATAATGACTCAAGTAGATATGATGTTGAAAGTGTTATACGTTAATTATGTGGTGGTAGTGGAGGTGGTGAAAGAGATGGATGTAAAGATGGTGGTGGTGGAGGTGGTGGTTGTGGTCGTAGTGGTGGTAGGGATGACAATTGTGGAGGTGGAGGTGATAATGGTTGTTGAGATGGCGGTTGTGGAGGTGGAAGTGGTGGAGGTGGTGCTTGAGGTGGAGGTGGTGCTTGAGGTGGAGACGGTGAAGATGGAGGTGGTGGACGGGGCCTTTGTGTCAAGAGACCGAACGACTATTGGAGTTCTAAGTGGATGAGCCTTATCCAAAACATTCACTCTACAACCACAATAATTGCTTCTTATTGTTTGTAAATAGTGATTAAGCCTATAAGTCTTCAACTTTTAGTAAAACATGATATTTAATTTCCAATATTGTTCCTCACTTTTAATGTGTGGGTCATCCATCATTTATAACAGATCCTTATATGTTTTAATTTTATACCGTTATAGTTAAAAAAATGTTTAAATCCTCATTCGAATATTGCTTTTTTCCTGAAAAATTCTTGATATACAATAATTTCAAATTTGAGTTTGAATAATAGTTCAAAATGATACTAATTCATGCAAACTGTTTCACAAGAAAATAATATTATAAAATGTTGATCTTGAGTGTAGATTTTGACAAGGGGGTTGCTGCCCGGCCGACCGAACCATAGCTTCTCTTTTTTGTTCTTTTGTGATACTCTTCGTTGGTGGATAGATTGTGGGCTGATTTGAAATGGGCCATTGAATCCCTGCAAGCTATCCCTGTACGATAGAGCATGAGTAAATGGGTTGGGTTCCTGATACTGAAAACTTGAGTTCAGTTTACAAGAAGCCAGCCTATGGCCTTACCATTGAGTTGGGAAAATTTTGAATCCGTTTGTTATTTCCTCATTAGTTTTCAGTCTGGTTTACCATTTATGAGACTATTGCCATTCAAGTTTGATTTTTCAAAATTTTCCATTGAACTCAAAACATAGACGAGAGATGGCAAAAACCTACTGTGCCTGGATTTTTCAAGTTTTCACTGTGTCATGTCATGTGGTTAGCGTATAGAGATTATAAAAATTCACACCTACGTAAAATTTTATTTCCTCGGATGAAAGAAAACAAGCATAGAAACAATTGTAGAAATGAACAGAGATATGTATGTACATGTATGACCAAAACTATTCATTCTCATTTCATTTCACCTTTTTGGCCTTGCACAAAATTGAAACATAACACAAGCTAGCTGCATTATCCCCATTTATTAACATATAAAACTCCAACTAAACTCATCGGTTGATAAATCAATCATGCACAACCAGCTTCTGATATTCTTCTCCAGAGATAGCTAATTCCATGAATTCATCTGGTCGGATTTCCCCATCGTTGTCCATGAAGAGCTTCAGCAAGTTCTTAGAGAAGCCACTCAACAGAGCCACCCCGGGCTGATTCCCGGGCACCGGTGTAGACCTCGAGTTCCTCAGATTCCAAAACACCAGCTGTGGGATCACATTCCCATAACCATGCTCCCTAAACTTATTCTGTATCACGTCATAATCAGTCTCCCAGCTGTTGGCCGAAGCCTCATCAAACTCCATGTCGCTGAACACAAACACCCTCTTGATCATATTCTCCGGCTTCAAATTCCCCTTCACCGCAACCCTCAGCAGCAAATCAAACACCTTCTGAAAATCAGTGTTCGTTCCCCAATCCATATCCCTCACAAACTGGCACTTGGTCTTCAGATCATCCCCTTTCACCAAATGCAGCTGAGGATTCCCACTGAATGTGATCACCAGCCCCTTCCACGGGTCCTTACTCAGCTCAGACACCAACAGCCCCAACGATATCGCCACCTCCATGGGGGTCCCACACATGCTACCGGACACGTCACACACCGCCAAGCAGTTCTTCATCTTCCCCAACTTCATCATGTCCTCCACCATTCTCTTCCATTGAAGCTCAGCCACTTCCCCGACGTCGCCTTCCTCCACAGACCCAATAATCTCATGGGGAAGCAGAGCACCGGCCGCCATCTTCGCCTTGCCGGCCTTCACGTCCTCCAAGTACTTCTTGAACCTCTCCTCGTCGTGCTTCAGGAAGAACCGTTTGTAATTCTTCATGGCCACTGACGCCACTCTGTTGTACGGAAGCGAACCCCACTGCTTCGCGCCCATATAAACCTCCGGCAACTCCAGCACCTTCCTCAGCGGCACCAGAATATCTTTCCTCAGCCGATCTCTCACTCTGTAAGCGTAATGGGTTTCCTCCATGCCTTCGTATTCCTTGTACGATTCGCGCGGGAACACCTTTCTCGCAATGCTCTCGCAGATTAGAGTGGCTCGATCGAACGAAGAGTCAATCGAAGGGCACCACTTGGCCGCGAGGCTGATCTTGTTGCTCTGATTCGACTTCAAATTCTCCATATCGGCCTTCAACAACTCGGCGAAAAGATCCGAAACCCTCTCGTGCAAGAATCGGAAATCCGGGTCGGATCCATACCTGGCAACCGCCTTCTTGGCCATGGCGATCTTCTTCTCCTTCCTCAACACGCTTGCCTTTTCCTTTTCCGATTTTACCCACTGCTTCGCCTTCGCTTCATTTTCCTCCTTCGACATGTCCTTTTTGGCGGCTTTTTTCTCTCCTCCGGTCTTGATTTTCTTGAACGGAACGGCTTCGGGGCTCAAGTCACAGCCCAACCTCTGTTTCCTCCTGCCGCCGGCGGATTTTCTTTCCTTCAACGCATCCTTCTGTTTCCTCCGCACGTCCTCGCCTTCTAGAAGGCGGTAGAGAATCTCGGGCAGGTCCTTGAAATAACCGAAGTCCGCAAAGGACCTGAGATTGCATGCGAGGGTTTTGGGGTGGTGGTTGTGGAGCCAAACCGCCGCCGTGTGGAAGTTTTCCTTGTCAGACTTTCCGGTGCCGCGTACGCCTCGGAGGTTGCAGATGAGCTTGAGCGTGGTCGGCGCGCTGTGGCTCCAGGCCAGCGGGAGCTGGTTGTTGACGTAGTCGGCGGGGGTGTCCGGCACCACGTGGAAGAAGAAATCGAGGCAGGGGTTGCCGGTGGAGAGATAGGTGGCGGAATTATTCTCGGTCAAGCCCATCGGGAGTTTGTTGTCCATCGCTATGTCGTTGAAATTTGAGACCATGAGGTCAACGAAGGGTTCGCCGGTGGCCGGTAGGGGTTGAGATTGGGGCGGTGAGGTGTGGGTGGGATTGGTGAGCTCTGGAGGACCGAGAAGACTGGGAGGAGCCATGGTTGCGAGGTGTGAGAAATTGTGATTGAGTGAGCAGGGGCGGATCTATAGGATGGCGGTTACTTGGGTTCCAAACTTAGTGTTCATCGCTTCTGATTTTTCTTTTTCTTTTTCATTTTCGAGACAATATATTTGTGCCGAGTCCATTTTCGAGACTCAGACTCAGGGGCCTTTTTAGTGCTTTGTATTTTTTTTACTTTTTCTGATAAATTGGATTTGAAATTAAATAAAGAAAAGGAAACCATCTTAAAATAAGGAATTTTCGTACCGAAAAGGAAAAAACAGCTCAACCCACGACTGTTTCTTGCTTATGTGGATTGTCCACACGCGGCAAGCCAAGAATCAGAACGTGGATTGCTTAGGAATTACCTGATTGATATATAAACTATTTAAATTTATCTAGTGTGTGATTCGTTATGCTTACAACCACCAATTACTTTTTTTGTTGTTGATAAATATCACAAGTGTCCCCATACTCGATAGGTGGAATTAATCTTCGCTCGAAATTTGACTTAGCTCTGATCACGAAGCAACAATTACTATTTCTAATATGAATAAGTTGGTAAGAAATGTTATCGACAAAGTCTGTCATTTGTCAATGCCGTCATAGTCGATCTCCTAATCCTAACCGATGATCAGCCTGCCATACTTGTAATATTTTCAAACTTTGGCAATATTTTCAAACTTTATTTTCTTTCTTAAAGAGCCAGAAACAAAGAGAAAGATAAAACCAGCTAGGTCGGCATTAGTAAGGAAATGGGCAACAAAATGGGTTTCACGTGGAGTGTCGTTGATGGCTAATCCAAAGCTTTTCTCCCATACCTTAAACCAGCTCAAAGTTGAATTTTCAAACCAGCGTGCATGCCAAGAATCAGAATGGGCTTTTGACAAAGGCAACCCTTCATCACCAAACCTACTCAACTCATGTATAAAGCAAGCCTCAAATGTAATAAAGGTTTTGGGATATCCTATTCGATCAAAGTTGCACCACACTTGACATAAAAGCCATAAAATTGTATCTACTTGCTTCTCAGTTTAATTTATTGAGAATAACACAAGCTGCGTTTAACGACATACAGACTGATTGAATTTTAGTCTTGGAGGCTTGTAAGAAATCAAGAGCAAAACAGAAACCAAGAATACAATGGCAGCAGCAGAGCATGCTATTACTATGCATATCTAGAAGCAGCAGCGCTCCAACAAGCAGCAGCAGCAAAGTGCAGCCAAACTGCGAATTGTAACCAACGAGGGGGAGATATCAGATGATAAACAAAACAAACGGCATATATTCACTTGCAATCCAATGTTTGATGTTACATGCAAGTATTGAGGAGATTCGAAACAGGAAATATACAATCAATTGGATGAAAAATAGAAACTTGGATTGGATTGGATTGGACCCCATGAACATGAACATAAACATAAACAATAGATATTAATAGGGATATATAATAGATAGAAAGCAGAGACATACATACCAGCTTCTAAAGAGAGAATCGCAGGCATAGTCATCTTGGTGGTAGTGGTCGTATGGGTGGAGGGGAGGTGGGGCAGCTGATGGTGGGGGTTGGTACCCTTCATAGAAGTAACCCTGATATCCATATTCCTGTGGCGGAGGAGATGGATTTGGGAACCCTGGCCGTGGCGGTGGAGGTGGAAAGTCCGGCGGCTGAGGATACTCTTGTGGGTACCCTGAAAATTCATAGTCGCACACCCAACACAAATAATTATTATTGGATAATTAAACAAATCTAAAATCGGGGGAAATTTACAATTGTATTATAAATGGCTTGCCTGGTGGGGGATGATGCTCATGTTGAACATGGATATGTTGGTAACTCATTGTTCGTTTGCCTTATCCGATGATCTGGCTGACTTCTGTGGTTATGCGTTGTTGAGTTCTCTGCTCGAATGAAATATTAAACCCGTGTTCTCTCCAAAGTTTCTTTGAAGTGTCAGTGCTGCATTGGGGAGGAGGACACCTGGCGGGAACGTAGCGATGTCAGTGTCGACAACCATGCATTAATTTTCTTTGGAAGGATCGATATAAACAACTTGGCATACAACATGCTTATCAACTTTATGAGGTTACTTAAAACTTATTACTTTGGGAAAGGAAAAAAAAAGAAGAAATTCACAAGAGAAAAGTTATGGATAAATGCAAGCTCCTCATAATAATGTAGATTATTACAAATGCTTTTATGACGGTCAGTCGGTGACAAGGTTAGACTAATTATCCTTATGAAGCTTCTTGATTTTTGTCCTGAGCGCAACACCTGGTCAAGCAAGCCAAGCGAAAGCTTGTAATTCTGCCGCTAGCTTCCTGAATAAACACAACACTTTGCTTCGCTGAAAAGGCAAAGGCAAAGGCAAAGGCATTCACATAACAGAGCCGCGTGTCACTTTTTCAGATATTCTTGAAATTCCTGAACCTTCCACTCTATAAAAACACATTTTATCTCTCAACTGATAATATACACAAGAAAACAAAGCAAAAGAAAGAAGAAACCCATCATTTATCAGCTCATCAAACTCACTAACCATGACAGGCATACCAGAAGAAACACACCCCCATAACCAATCATCTCAAGCAGCCAAAGACCCAGAATCCAATTCTCCATCCCTTGCCACTGTTACTGATCATCAGGACCTACAGACGCCTCAGCCACCACCGCCACCACATTCAGCTTCATCATCTCCAGCAGAGGAGGAAGACACCAAGAAATATGGGACCCACATCATGGGAGCCCCAGCAGCCCCAAATGCCCACCCAGACAACCAGAGAGCCGCCCAATGGAAAGCATCTGATCACCAGCAAATTCACCACCACCAGCAGCCCTATGTCCAGTGCGCTCCCGTAAACAAGCCCAGCAACAACCCTTTTGAGCCTGCGATCCACGTGTTCAATTCCTGGAGCGCCAAGGCCGAGACCATAGCCAGAAACATCTGGCACAACCTCAAAACAGGGCCCTCTGTTTCTGAAGCTGCCTGGGGGAAGGTCAACTTGACGGCAAAAGCCATAAGTGAAGGTGGATTTGAGTCTCTATTTAAGCAGATTTTCGCGACTGATCCAAACGAGAAGCTCAAGAAGACCTTCGCCTGCTACCTTTCCAGTTCCACAGGTCCTGTCGCTGGCACTCTGTATCTCTCAACTGCCAGGCTTGCTTTCTGCAGCGATCGTCCTTTAACTTTCACTACCCCATCTGGACAAGCAGCTTGGAGCTACTACAAGGTAAATAACACTGAATTAAATGAACTCTTTTGAGAAAATTGATGGAAGTAATTTGTATTGACTGGAAATCTGTGTTCTTGAACAGGTGATGATACCTTTGGCAAATATAGGTACAGTGAACCCTGTGGTCATGAAAGAGAGTCCACCAGAAAAGTACATTCAGATTGTCACCATAGATGGCCATGAATTCTGGTTTATGGGATTTATTAATTTCGAAAAGGCATCCCATCACCTCTTAGACAGTGTCTCAGATTTCAGAACAGCTGGGAATTCAGCGCAACCGGTTGTTGGCTAGAGCTTGAAGATGAATTTTCCTTTTGGATCCCCAGGATCATCATCCTCCTTTGAGTTTTGATTTTCAGAGTTTTGGTTTTGTTGATTTGTTTGTAGGATTATGGATTAGTTGAATCTGTAATTCATTGTATTCTGTCCTTTGCTTCCGTGTGTTTTATGTGTTTGTAAATTGTGACCTTTGTTTCAGATATCTACACATATTATATTCTTTAGTGTAAATTAATGTTTTAAATATTATAAGTTCAAATTGAGTTTGCATACCTACACTAAGGTCATCTCCTATCATACTACTAAATGTAGTACAGGGCTAAATTATCTTTCCAAAATATTAATTTTTTTTAATTTTTTAAAGAATAATGGAGGATTAAATTTTTTCATCATATAGGGTTATATTTTAGGATTTTTTTATATTTTATTATTTTGAGAATGCTTTAAATAAGGCAAGTGAGGGAGTGTTTTAATATTTGGTGATTGAAAAATATATGGTGGGATTAACTATGAATTTGGCATAGGTCAAAGCTGAGTTATATTTGATTCGGTTAGAGGGTTAAAGGGTCAAATATGGCCTTTTAAATGTGGCCAAAATTTTATTTAGTTCATAATTAGAAATGAGTTTTGCATTAATTTAGGATTATATTTAGAATATAGTCCATGATTGGAGATGACCTGATTTTACTTGTCAAAACTCCAACTGAAGGTTCTCGTTGGGAAGTGATTTTGGATAGGTAAGCTCAATTGAGGCTATGGTTCTTTTCTGGTAAAACAATGAGGTTATTGGCCCATATATACTAAATTGTAAATTAATATTTCAATATTATAAGTTCAAATTGAGGATGCCTACTCCACTAGTGTTACACGTACAAGTACAACTTTGAAATGGAACTTAAAATATAGGATTACAATTGCAAACATGAAAGTGTCAAACAAGAAAGCCTTCCCCTTCATCATGTAAAGCATGCACTTGTCTTCATAATGTGCATCTACAGGTTCAATTTTCCAGTAATACTGCAACACTACTGCAGGACATCTCAAATCAATCTATCAAAAGCAAAATAAATAAAGATAAGATGCATCTAAGGGCCTAATTACAGCATGCGTCCAATATCCAGCAGCAACAAATTGCAGCCAAACTGCAAATGCAACACGAGAGGTTGGGATCAGTGAAAGTGGTGGGAGAAGAACCAAGGAAGCCAAAAAGTAATTTTAATTATTGTCCTAAATTTTTTATAGAGAATATAGAAAAAGAACAAAGAGTAAAACACATATTTATTCAATTCAAGCCAAATATGATGATCAAATCAAACAATTAAAGAGCTGGTGGTAACAGAAGGATATGGAGAACATGCACATACCAGCCTTTGAGGACTGAAAAGCAGTTAGGTTCACCATCCTCTTGGTGTGAAGGGGGCGGGGGTGGAATTGGGTTTGGTGGCGGCGGCGGATAATAGTAACCCTGATAGCCAGGTGGTGGTGGGGGGCCTGGAGGAGGAGGGTAATCTGGCGGCGGTGGGGGAGAGGGTGGCGGCGGCGGCGGCGGTGGTGCATACCCTGGCGGAGGCAAGGAAAACATGTATTTGTCAAAACAAGCAATTAGTACATATAACATGAACCAGAAGGGTGGTTAAAGAAAATGTGGTTGGTGACTTGATCACTTGCCTGGCGGGGGTGGGGTTGGAGGCTCACCGGGAACAGGCCTGTAACTCATTGCTCTGCTTTTCGACTTCAATCCTAGCTTAGTGCAAAGGCTAGAAACCCAGAACAGAGAAGAGGGTTATGTCTGTTAGCTGTATATATAAACTATATAATTGACTACCCGCTGAGTAAGTGGAAATCATGTGGAACATGCTTTTCTCATTTCCATCGAGTTTTGGCTTCATTTTAGTATTATAATTTTAATTGATCTTCCCATAGACATTCGAGCAATAAATTAACCAAAACGAAGTCTATAAACAAAAAGTTAACCTCCATGTAACTTCCACCTGCCATTCTAGAAGTAGGTGGTCACCTAACAGTCCACCCTTTACCAATTTAGAGAAGAAGGAAAGAAAACCCAAAGAGAAACAGGAGCTTACTGCTTACCTGAGGGTCAGCACTCTATCCACCATTCAAGACAGCTGAAGGAAGTTGAGCAAAACCCCTCATCAAAATGATAAATCATAAACTTATTAGGTGCTGTGCAGATTGATAATTTTGAAAAGACCTGGGATATCACCTCCTAAACCTTGTGTCAGATTTCAAAGCCATTGAGAATGCACTGCAAGTCTGCAACTAATTGTCACAGATTTCTTGTAATTCATATATCCTCTTTTTAGAATGTTATAAATTTGGATTGAGATTACATGTGCATATCGTAGAGGTTAGGTACTTTTGTATGTTCTTTACCCTCTTTTTAGAATGTTATAAATTTGGATTGAGATTACATGTGCATATCGTAGAGGTTAGGTACTTTTGTATGTTCTTTACTTCAAAAAGAGACGAATAGAAAACAAAAAACTCAGAGAGACTGTTAAGATATGAAATAGCTGTAAATATTTGTTTCCTTGTCCATTTAGTAAATTGCTTTAATTTAGGACCAATATAAGTTTATCATATGTAGCCTACGCTTCCTCTTTATATCCTTTATTGTCAGAGTTGTACATATACAGATAGTGGCGGATCTAGGATCCGTAACCCAAGGGGTCACAATGTTTGTTCCAATTTTTTTTTAGAGAGTTTTCCATTTTTTTTAGTGAGCTTCACTAATACACCCAAAATAGGGGCTGAAATTCTAAAAAAAAACCCCACATAGAATGCACTTTAGAAATACACCAAAAACTCATTTATTACATAAGAAATTGGTGTTTAAGTTTCTATAAATTACGTGATTGTCATTGATCAACTTAAAAAGGAAGTCCAACACAAAAAATTTAAATAGCACCCAAAACAAACCCAGTCCAATTTTATAAAAAAACCTAAATAATTCATTATAAACAAAACGTCTTGAAAACCATAGCTTCATTAATGTGTCATGTTGATTAATGACTATAATATTCTACACATTTACTGTCATATTGATTAATGGCTGTAATGTTCTAGTCTAGGGTAATAACACTGCTACTTTCCTATGACATCCTATTTCTAATGCATATTTACCCCTTATAATATTCCAGTCTAGGGTAATAACATTGTTAGTTTACTGTCATGTTGATTAATGACTGTAATATTCCAGTTTAGGGTAATAACATTGCTAGTTTCCTATGAAATCCTATTTCTAATACATGTCTACCCCATGTAATGTTCCAGTTTAGGGTAATAATACTGCTAGCTTCCAATGACATCCTATTTTTAATGCATGTCTACCCCTATAATGTTCTAGTCCAGGGTAATAACACTGCTAGTTTCATATGACCTCCTATTTCTAATGCATGTATACCCTTGTAATGCTTCAGTCTAGGGTAATAACGCTTCTTGTTTCCTATGACATCCTTCTAATGCATGTATACATTTGTAATGTTCCAGTCTAGGGTAATAACATTGCTAGTTTGCGGTCATGTTGATTAATGACTGTAATGTTCTAGTCTAGGATAATAACACTGCTATTTTCCTATGACATCCTATTTCTAATGCATGTCTACCCCATGTAATGTTCCAATCTAGGGTAATAACACTTCTAGTTTCCTATGACATCCTATTTCTAATGCATGTATACCTTTGTAATGTTTCAGTCTAGGGTAATAACATTGCTAGTTTCCTATGAAATCCTATTTCTAATGCATGTCTACCTTTTGTAATGTTCCAGTCTAGGGTAATAACATTACTAACTTCCTATGACATCCTATTTCTAATACATGTCTACCCCTGTAATGTTCCAGTCTATGGTAATAACACTACTAGCTTCCTATGACATCTTATTTCTAATGCATGTCGACCCCTGCAATGTTCTAGTTTAGGTTAATAACACTGCTAGTTTCATATGACATCCTATTTTTAATGCATGTCTACTCTTATAATGTTTCAGTCTAGGGTAATAACACTACTAGTTTACTATTATGTTGATTAATGCTTGTCATGTTGCTATTTCTAATATATGTTCAACAAAGAAAAGATGAAAGAACAAATCGGACCAACTCAAAACAAGTTGAGCCCAAATTGTTAATACTATTATGTCATAGAAGTACGTTGTTAATACTCTGTAATAGAAGTACATTGTTAAACAAAAATAAGATCCATAACTGAAATAGTAATAAAAGATAAATCGATCATCAAATCTTAAAATACATTTCGAAAATCAATAAAAATCCAAAGAGAAACACATAATTGAAGCAAAGATCAAAATTCTCAAGTCCAAACCAAACAATGATGACGACAATGATGACGAAGACGTGGCGAAGAGGAGTAGAGCTCGAAGATGAGGAGTATAGCTAATAGCATTTGATCAAGGTTCGTTTGAGGTCTTGAACAATCCCAAAAAAAAAAAAAATCAATTGAAGCACGATTTTAGAACAAGAAATCGAAGATGAAATATTGAAAATTGTATATTAAAGATGAAGAATATAGTTGGACTTGAGAGCTTCAATGGAAGCTCCTCTTGCTCCAACACCAAAGAAAGCATCAACAAGAAAGGAGAAAATAAATCTGATTTGGTTTTTTGACTGATCTGTGCAGATATATTTTTTTGGCAGATCTGATTTTTCTCTCTCAAATCCATAATACAAGGGCAATATATGTATTTAACACACACAAATAACTAAAAAAACAGCTATTAAATTGAAAAAATTGACATCTGTCAATTTTTGGGGGTTTTTTTTTTTTGTGTGTGTTTATAGTTTTTAAATGGTATAGGGTTTCTTTATAAGACTATGTCTAAGATTGGGTATATAACTAAATTTCTATTTTTCTTATCTATTTTTTCTTTTTCAAATTCTCTGTATTCTTGGGGTTCCAATCGTGATATTACATAATAAAAGATAACTTATGATTATAAATGATTTTAATCAAACATGCCAACAACAAAATAAATAAAACAACAAAAGTGGTACCCTACGAGTCTTTAAAAGCATTAAATTCATCAATAAAACTATAACCTACGAGTCTTTCTACGTGTTTGTAAAACTTGCACCAGTTCAGTAAAGTCTTGATTTTTTCGGTTTGATTGTTTGAGGAGCTTATGCAATTCTGCAACTTTAGCCTTCAAGGATGCGACTTGTGCAGTGAATGAAGCACATTCTTGGTTTCTTGCTAGCAGATACAATCCTAAATTTGTTACTGAAGCAGCATTGCGAGCATTGAGAAATTGGGTCTTCCTCCTTGCCATTTCATTATGCAAGTGCATACTTGATAGCATTTCATTATGCATGTTTACAACTTGCACCGAAGTAGAATCGGTATGGAAATTGGAATGTGGAAACACAACATTTTCCTGTGATGTTCCTTGGGTTAAAGGAGGAGCAAGAGATAAATTTAAATATGAGGTGCTTTTAGGAATCAAAGGGAATTCTAATAAGCCTATATTATATATATATACATATACATATTTTATGCCTAATTTACTTATTTATTTGTTAATTTCTTTGGATTAAATTGGTTGTTTTAATTGGTTTTGTGAGATTTGTGAAGGAATTGTGAAATATGAGAAATTGAGGTAAAAAAGGGCAAGAAGATGAAAATTGGTGAAAAAGAAGCCAAGCCATTCCTTTTGTGCAAGGAATGTTTTCAAATTTCCTAGTTCAAGATGGTTTAAGTCTTATCAAGTCAAACAAGGAGAAATAAAGAAGACCTTAGATTAGAAGGAATCCTATTTTTATAATAATTGTAATTATACCTTAGATATGTAGGATTTCTAGGAGTATTATAAATAGGGAGTTTCGGTCATTGATCAAATCCTCCATTATCCATCATCCTCCATCCCTCCACCATTAAATTTCTACATATTCATACTCATAGCCGAAACACTCAAAGGAGAATACGAAGAGAGCTTGCGCAACCTTGGTGTTCTACTTGGAGAATTTGGTGCCTTCCATGTCTTTATCAACCATCATGATTCTCAATAAGTCCTTCATGAACTAATTTCTTTTACTAGGGATACGATGTAGCCTAGCTATAAATATTCAAATTCTTTGATATTGTTAATTTTATTTATCTATACATGTTGAGTGATTGTTACCGTTCTTAGTGCTTTCAATTAATTGGTCACTAATTGCATGATTGGAAGAATTGAGTTGAGACCGGAAGGAGATTCTTAATAAAAAGCTTCTAGTAACAAATACCATAAATTACATAGCCGACTCGGAAGATTAGTTTATAGTTTGTGTAATCGTCATTGTTTTCCACAAATCTTAATGAGTTCTTAGCTATCTAAATCCATAACTAGGAATAGAGTGGTTGATGGTAAGGAATACAACTAATATAACTCAGAAGAGAGTATTGGTGAGGTAAGGGAAAACGATTATCAACATGTTACGTAATTTGAGTTAACAAGCTAGAAGGATTTGTGTGGGATTAGCTAGGTGAAATCGGTGCCCTAGTGCTTTATCATCTTTGTTTTCATCTTTTACATTATTTACTTAATCTCAATTTATTTTACTTGCTTAATTAGATTTTAATCATCATAATTCTCTTATCGTCACTCTAGTATGTGATAGATTAACTTGATCCCTGTTGGAACGATACTCTATTTACTACTATATTAATTTGAGCAATATTGTCCACTTGCAATTAATCACATCAAATTCCATTTTTTTTTCAGATTGAAGGAAGTCTTGGTAAGTAAATTGGCGGAGCTAGGGTTTTTTTTCTGAGTTGTGATTCTTTTCTCCCCTTATTTTCTTTTATAGATGTCCATTATGACACCCGTTTCTCAAGCTACACACCTGTAATTTCTGGCTTTCCACCTCGAGCTACACACCCATAATTTCTGATTTTCTACCTTGAGGTACACAACCGTGTTTTTTGGCTTTTCACCTCGACCCACTTAATTAGAAAAAAAAAGACACTAAGTAGAGGAGATAGATCCATCTTCTTTATTTTTTCTATTCTCTCTTTATTTAATATTTCCCCTCTTTTTTTTTTTTTTTTTTCTCTCTCTCTCTCTCTCTCTTTCTTTATTATTTTTCTTCTTCTTCCAACCTTCCCCTCTTTTTTTTTCTTTTTTTAAATTCTTTCTCTCTCTGTGTTTCTTTCTTCCTAGCCTCCCCCACCACTCCCTCGCTACTAACTAAACGAAGAGGATTTCATTATTCCATTGTTTCACAAGAATAAATAAAGA